GCCTTATTATTATTATATTATATTATCGACAGTTTTATCATCAACAAAAACACATTAAACGGGTTCTTACGCAGAGGCGGAGTCTGAGCTGAGCAACAGCGAGAAAAACAGTCAATAACAGCAAATATAATCAATAAAGAGCGTTAAACATTGTCCTCGGAGCAGAGAAGGTTCTAAACACTGGTTCGGCCTCAGCGAGTGGTCAGTTCTGGGCACTGTACTTTAGGGAGGATACAAAGGAGATTGACCAGGATGGTACCAGGGATGAGGAGAGGCGAGAGAAGCCGGGATTATTGTCCTTGGAGCAGAGAAGGTTAAGAGGAGTCTTAATAGAAATTTTCAAAATGATGAGGGGATTCGAGAGTGTGAACAAGGAGGAACTATTCCCACTGGCGGTGGGTCAGTAACCCGAGGACACCGATATAGAATAGTTGTTAAAAGAAACAGAGGGGAGGGGAGGAGAAATGTTTTCACAGCGAGTTGTTGGGATCCGGAATGCATTGCCTGAAAGGCTGGTGGCAGCCGATTCCATAACAACTTGTAAGAGAGAAGTAGATAATTATTTGGGGAGAACAAGTTTCCAGGGCTAAGGGGAGAGCGCGGGGGAGTGGGGTTGATCGGGGCTATGGGGAGAGAGTGGGGGAGTGGGGTTGATCAGAGCTATGGGGAGAGCGCGGGGGAGTGGGGTTGATCAGAGCTATGGGGAGAGAGTGGGGAGGGGGTTGATCAGAGCTATGGGGAGAGCGCGGGGGAGTGGGGTTGATCAGGGCTATGGGGAGAGAGTGGGGGAGTGGGGTTGATCAGGGCTATGGGGAGAGCGCAGGGCAGTGGGGTTGATCAGAGCTATGGGGAGAGAGTGGGGGAATGGGGTTGATGAGGGCTGTAGGGAGAGAGCGGGGGAGAGCGCGGGGCAGTGGGGTTGATCAGGGCTATGGGGAGAGCGCGGGGCAGTGGGGTTGATCAGGGCTGTGGGGAGAGAGCGGGGGAGTGGGGTTGATGAGGGCTATGGGGAGAGAGCGGGGGAGTGGGGCTGATCAGGGCTATGGGGAGAGCGCGGGGGAGTGGGGCTGATCAGGGCTGTGGGGAGAGAGCGGGGGAGTGGGATTGATCAGGGCTATGGGGAGAGCGCGGGGGAGTGGGGCTGATCAGGGCTGTGGGGAGAGAGCGGGGGAGTGGGATTGATCAGCGCTATGGGTAGAGAGCGGGTGAGTGGGGTTGATCAGGGCTATGGGGAGAGAGTGGGGAGTGGGTTTGATGAGGGCTGTAGGGAGAGAGCGGGGGAGTGGGTTTGGTCAGGGCTGTGGGGAGAGAGCAGGGGAGTGGGGTTGATCAGGGCTATGGGGAGAGAGTGGGGAGTGGGGTTGATGAGGGCTGTAGGGAGAGAGCGGGGAGAGCGCGGGGCAGTGGGGTTGATCAGGGCTGTGTTGAAGGAGTGAGGTTGATGAGGGCTATGGGGAGAGAGCGGGGGAGTGGGGTTGATCAGGGCTGTGGGGAGAGAGCGGCGGAGTGGGGTTGATCAGGGCTGTGGGGAGAGCGCGGGGGAGTGGGGTTGATCAGGGCTGTGGGGAGAGAGCGGCGGAGTGGGGTTGATCAGGGCTGTGGGGGAGCGTCGGGTTGATCAGGGCTGTGGGGAGAGAGCGGGGGAGTGGGGTTGATCAGGGCTATGGGGAGAGCACGGGGGAGTGGGGCTGATCAGGGCTGTGGGGAGAGCGGGAGGGGTGGGGTTGATCAGGGCTGTGGGGAGAGAGCGGGTGAGTGGGGTTGATCAGGGCTATGGGGAGAGAGTGGGAAGTGGGGTTGATGAGGGCTGTAGGGAGAGAGCGGGGAGAGCGCGGGGCAGTGGGGTTGATCAAGGCTGTGGGGAGAGAGCGGGGGAGTAGGGTTGATCAGGACTGTGGGGAAAGTGGGAGGAGTGGGGTTGATCAGGGCTGTGGGGAGAGCGGGAGGAGTGGGGTTGATCAGGGCTGTGGGGAGAGAGCGGGGGAGTGGGGTTGATGAGGGCTATGGGGAGAGAGTGGGGGAGTGGGTTTGATCACGGCTGTGGGGAGAGAGTGGGGGAGTGGGGTTGATCAGGGCTATGGGGAGAGCGGGAGGAGTGGGGTTGATCAGGGCTAAGGGGAGAGCGGGAGGGGTGGGGTTGATCAGGGCTGTGGGGAGAGAGCGGGGGAGTGGGGTTGATCAGGGCTATGGGGAGAGAGCGGGGGAGTGGCATTGATCACGGCTGTGGGGAGAGAGCGAGGGAGTGGGGTTGATGAGGGCTATGGGAAGCGAGTGGGGGAGTGGGGTTGATCAGAGCTATGGGGAGAGGTCGGGGGAGTGGGTTGATGAGGGCTATGGGGAGAGAGCGGGGGAGTGGGTTTGATCAGGGCTGTGGGGAGAGCGGGGGAGTGGGGTTGATCAGGACTGTGGGGAGAGCGGGAGGAGTGGGGTTGATCAGGGCTGTGGGGAGAGAGTGGGGTTGATCGGGGCTATGGGGTGAGAGTGGGGGAGTGGGGTTGATCAGGGCTATGGGGTGAGAGTGGGGGAGTGGGGTTGATCAGGGCTATGGGGAGAGCGCGGGGGAGTGGGGTTGATCAGGGCTGTGGGGAGAGAGCGGGGGAGTGTGGTTGATCGGGGCTGTGGGGAGAGCGCGGGGGAGTGAGGTTGATCAGGGCTGTGGGGAGAGAGCGGGGGAGTGGGGTTGATCAGGGCAATGTGGAGAGGTCGGAGGAGTGGGGTTGATCAGGGCTGTGGGGAGAGAGTGGGGGAGTGGGGTTGATCGGGGCTGTGGGGAGAGCGCGGGGGAGTGAGGTTGATCAGGGCTGTGGGGAGAGAGCGGGGGGAGTGGGGTTGATAATAATAATAATATAATAATAATAATAATCCTTGCATTTGATATAGCGCTTTTCACGTCGGGAGGATGTCCCAAAGCCCATCACAGAACACACTGTAAAGTGAATTGACTGTATATTTGTGGGCGAACGCGGCAGCCAATTGCGCACAGCAATGTCCCACAAACAGTCGTAGATTGAAAATGACCAATTTATTATTGTTTTTGGTTTTGGAGGGATTATTATTAGGCTCTGTGTGGAGTAAGGAAACTTGCCCAAGGTTTCGCCCTCTGCCGGGAATTGAACTCAGGTCTCTCACTTGCAAAGCGAGTGCTCTAACCACTGAGCTACAGGGGAGCAGGGGAGTGGCGTTGATCAGGTATATGGGGAGAGAGTGGGGGAGTGGGGTTGATCAGGACTGTAGGGAGAGCGCGGGGTTGATCAGGGCTATCGTGAGAGTGCGGGGGTGTGGGATTGATCAGGGGTATGGGGAGAGCGAGGGGCGAGTGGTGTTGATCAGGGCTGTGGGGAGAGAGCGGGGGAGTGGGGTTGATCAGGACTGTGAGGAGAGCGCGGGGTTGATTAGGGCCGTGGGAAGAGAGCGGGGCGCGAGTGGAGTTGATCAGGTATTGTGGGGAGAGCGCGGGGTTCATCAGGGCTGTGGGGAGAGCACGGTGGGAGTGGGGTTGATTCGAGCTATGGGGAGAGAGTTGGGGGAGTGGGGTTGATCAGGGCTATGGGGAGAGAGCGGGGGAGTGGGGTTGATCAGAGCTATGGGGAGAGAGCGGGGCAGTGAGGTTGATCAGAGCTATGGGGAGAGAGCGGGGGAGTGGGGTTGATCAGAGCTATGGGGAGAGAGCGGGGCAGTGAGGTTGATCAGGGCTGTGGGGAGAGATTGGGGGGAGTGGGATTGAATTGGAAAAGCTCTTTTTAAAGAGCCGCACAGACACGATGAGCCGAATGGCCTCCTTCTGTGCTGTGTAATTCTATGCTAAACAGCCTGTGGGCCCCTGAAGCAGCGAGAGAGAGAGAGAGAGAGAGAGAGAGAGACTGTGGGCTCTGGTGCAGGTCCAGGCTGCACCCTACTCTTCACCGAGCCAATACCGAAGCTCGGTGTTCTGTTCAACCCTCAGTTCTGTTCAACCCTCAGCTATCCTGACAACATTCGTGCTGTGACCCATCAACAACAACAACAACAAGATTGCATTTATAGAGCGCCTTTCACGTCGGGAGGACGTCACAAGGTGCTGGACCCATACCACCTTCCTCCACCTTCGCAATACTGCCCGTCTCTGCCACTAGTCTCTCACCGCAGGCCGCCGAGACCCTGATCCACACTTTCATTACATTCCGGCTCGACTACGCCAACTGCCTGCTTGCTGGACTTCTCAACTCTTCCCCCCACAAGCTGCAGATTATTCAAAATTATGCAGCTTGTGTCCTCTCCCCACCAGGCTCCGCAAAGCAATCACCCCCACCCTGACCCAGCTCCACTGGCTCCCAGCACTTAGAGGATCGAGTACAAAACCCTCACTTCAAAGCCCTCCATGGTCTTGCTCCCTCCTACCTCTCCGACCTCCTAACCCCATATCAGTCTGTCCACTCCCTTCACTCAGCCGACACCGACTGCTTCGCGGCCCCCACACTTCCTGCCCCACCATTGGCGGTCGGACATTCAGCATCTCTGCCCCCACACTGTGGAACTCTATCCCGTCTGAACACCTTCCTGTTTAACTGCGTCTTTGGTCACCCTCCCACCCCCACCCCTCTACTCTTCACTCCTCCTGATCCCAGCTGAAGTCCCAAAAGCCCTGATTGTCCATCGCCCTGGGACCTCTTTCCGATGTGAAGGGCGCTGTTCAAGTGTAATTTATTGTTGTTGAGAGAGAGCGACTGGTCCCCGGGTGCAGCTCCATCTTACCATAATAATAATAATCCTTGCATTTGATATAGCACCTTATCATGTCTTTGAGACGTCTCAAAGCGCTTCAAAGAATACACTATAAAGTGTAGTGACTGTGTTTTGTGGGTGAAACACGGCAGCCAATTGCACACAGTGATGTCCCACAAACAGTCGTTGATTGAGTGACCATGTTATTGTTTTGGAGGGATTATTACCCTTGGAAAGCGAACATGTGAGTGAACGTGAGGTGAATGTGTTGTTCACTATTTCCCTTTCTCACTTTACAGGATGTCGGCCTTCAGGCTCCTGTGGGCTCCATCCTGGACAGGTGTGTATAACTGTGCGCGCGCGTGTATGACTGTATTTTCCTGTCCGTGTCGCTGTCCGTGCCACTGTGTGTATCGCTGTGTGTAACCAGCACTTGTTGTGTCCACAGGGCAGTCTTTAGTTCCTGTGTCTCTCCGGCTCCTAAGTGTTTCAGCTCAAAGACCATCCTACAGTGAGTCACACTGTGTGTCTGTCTGCATCTCCCTCTGCTCCTCTTGAAGAGTATGTGAATCTGTCTCTCAGTCTCTCTCAGTCTCTCTCTCTGACTCATTCTCTCAGTTTGTCTCTCTCTGTCTCTCAGTCAGTCAGTCTCTCACTCTCTCTCTCTCTCTCTCTGACTCGGTCTCTCTCTGTCTCTCAGTCTCTCAGTCTCCCTGACGCAGTCTCTCTCTCAGTCTCTCAGTCTCTCTGTCTCATATAGAGTACGTCAATCAGAGAGATGAGGCCACTGACTTTAAGTCGCTGACAGACAACGCTGCCCGAGTGCTGATGTGGACTGAACTGTTCAGAGGTAACGGCACACGTCACATAGCTGTGTTTATCGTGTCTTTCTCACTCACTCACTCTCTCCCTCTGACTCATTCTCACTCACTCTCTCTCACACACGTTATAATATAATAGTCCCTACATTTGAATATAGGAACACAAGTAGACTGTTCAGTTTATTAAGTCTGTTCACCATTTCATTAGATAATAATTGATCTGAAACTTAAAAAACATTATCAAAAGCAAAAATTATTATTTCACTGGATACCGGTGCACACAAAACATTCACCTACCTCCCTCTTATATACTTCAACTGACCTAGCATCTACAACAATTGGTGTAGTGAATTCCACATTTATACAACCCTTGAATTGGGTTCACTCTAATTTGAGTCCCACTCCACCATCATAGGTATCTCCATAGTAATATAAATAATAATAATCCTTGCGTTGATATAGCGCCTTATCACATCTTCGAGACGTCTCAAAACACTTCACAGAATTTACTGTAAAGTGAATTGACTGTATATTTTGTGGGTGAAACCCTGCAGCCAATTGCACACAGCAGTGTCCCCACAAAACAATCGTGGATTGAGTGACCAAATTATTATTATTTTTATTAAGCAATTATTACCCCCGGAAAAGCGATTCGCCAATCGACTAACAATCGGGTTCCTATTTACTGCTAGGTAGACAGGCATGTGGAGTAAGGAAACTTTTCGCCCTGCCCGGAATCAAACACAGCTCTTGCTTGCTCTAACCACTGAGCTACAGGACTGAGCTATACACTCTCTCTCACGCACTCACAAATACACACTCTCACACACAGTCTCTCACACACTTTCTCACACTATGTCTCTCTCTCACACATTCTTTCTCAGCCTCTCTCTATCTCTCTCTCTCTCACTCTCTGTGTTACAGGGCTGGGGATGACTCTCAGTTACCTGTTCCGGGAACCAGCCACCATAAATTACCCCTTTGAGAAAGGCCCTCTGAGCCCCCGTTTCCGGGGGGAACACGCTCTGCGCAGGTATCCCAGTGGGGAGGAGCGGTGCATCGCCTGCAAACTCTGTGAGGCCGTGTGTCCAGCCCAGGTCTGTGTGTGTGTGTGTGTGTGTGTGTCCAGCCCAGGTTAGTGTATGTGTGTGTGTGTTTGTCCAGCCCAGGTGAGTGTATGTGTGTGTGTATGTGTCAGCCCAGGTCTGTGTGTCTGTCCAGCCCAGGTCAGTGTGTGTGTGTCAGTCCAGATCAGTGTGTGTGTTCAGCCCAGGTTATAAGAACATAAGAAATGCTGGATGAAAGCAGACCAAGGTCCATCTAGTTTGCCTTCCACCTTCTGGTGGTTGCCTGCACATATGTCCCAAACTCCCTGTATACTGTATCCTATAATGTTATTTCCTAAAACAAAACTATCTAATCTGTGTTTGAAAGAATCAACATTTCCTGCTTCAACTGTTTCCCTAAGGAGCCTGTTCCACATGTTCACTATTCGCTCACTGAAATAGTGTTTACGTAGATTTGTTCTTAATTTCCCCCCCTTCAGTCGCAGGCCATGTCCTCTGGTTTTACTATTCTGGACTAGTTGAAACAGCCCGTCATGATCTATATTGTTTTGCCCCTTTAGAATCTTAAGGACAGCAATCATGTCACCCCTCAATCTTCTCTTTTCCAGCGTGTACATACCCACGTTACTTAGTCGCTCCTCAGAGTCCAGTCCCTCCATTCCTTCAATCATTTTGGTTGCCCTCCTCTGATTCTCCAATATCCTTTTTGTCCTGCGGTGACCAGAACTGTACACAGTATCTAAGTATGGTCTTTCTTTCACACTCTTCCTCTCTGTCTCTCCCTCTCTCTCAGGCCATCACAATTGAGGCTGAACCGAGGGCTGATGGAAGCCGCAGGACCACGAGATATGACATTGACATGACCAAGTGTATTTACTGCGGTTTCTGTCAGGAGGCCTGTCCTGTGGACGCCATCGTGGAGGTGAGAGAGAGAGGGGCACATAAGAAACGGAGAGAGAGAGAGAGAGACGGAGAGGGAGAGCTGCGTTTATCGACAGGGAGGAGAGAGGGAGAGACGGGGGAGGGAGAGAGAAAGAGAGAGCCTGACAAACAGACATTAATTTGTCTCTGTTTCTCAGGATCTGAATTTTGAGTTCTCGATACAGAGAGAGACAGGGGGAGAGAGAGGGATAGAGAGACAGACAGACGGCGGAAGGAAAGAGAGAGCCAGAGAGAACATGAAAGACAGACACTGAGTTTGTCCCTGTTTCTCAGGGCCCAACAGAGGGAGATGGAGGGAGAGATAGAGCCGGGTTTAGAGATAGAGAGAGAGGAGGGAGGGAGATAATATATTATAATAATCCTTGCATTTGATTTAGTGCCTTATCACGTCTTCAAGACGTCTCAAGTGCTTCATAGGATACACTGTAAAGTGAATTGACTGTATATTTTGTGGATGAAACGGGGCAGCCAGTTGCACACAGCAGCGTCCCACAAACACTCACGGATTGAGTCACCAAATTATTATTTTTTGAAGGAATTATTACCCCCAGAAAAGAGAAAGGAGAGGGATGAGGGGAGGGGAGGGAGAGAGAAAGCTTGACAGACAGACACACAGACACTGAGTTTGTCCCCATGTCTCAGGGCCCGAACTTCGAGTTCTCGACGGAGACGCATGAGGAGCTTCTGTACAATAAGGAGAAACTTCTGAACAATGGAGACAAGTGGGAGGCCGAGATCTCAGCCAACCTGCAGGCCGACTTCCTGTACCGCTGATACTGTGTGTATGCTCCACGCTGACACGTGTGTGTAGGTGTGGTCCACAATGACACGTGTATGTGTGTGTGTGCCCCGCGCTGACACAAGTGTGCTCTGCTGTAAGCAGAGTTGTATCACCCAGAGACCCACAGTGCACTCTACATTTTATTAAAAATACTAACAATAATAATCTTTGTGAGTGTGTGTAGGAGTTCATATGAGTGTTTGTGTGTGTGTGTAAAAGCAGTGTGTGAGTGTGGTCTGTGTGTATGGTGTGTGTGTATATATATGAGAAAGTGAGTGTGTGTGGTGTGTTTGTGTGTGTGGGTGTGTATGGTGTGTGAGTGTTGTATGTCAGTGATTGTGTGCATTAGTGTGAATGGTGTGTGTATTGTGTGTGTGATGTGAGTGTGTGGGATGTGTGAGTGTTGTATGAGTGATTGTGTGTATTAGTGTGTATGGTGTGCATTAGTGCGTATGTGATGTGTTAGTGTGTGTGATGGTATGTGTGTTGTATGTATGAGTGTGATTGTGTGTTAGTGTCCTTGATGTGTTAGTGTGTGTTGTATGTGTGTGTTAGTGTCTGTAAATGATGGGAACTGGAGTTTATATTAACAACATGAGTTTCTCAGAAACATTTCAGTGTTTGTGAGAGTGAGAACACTTCGAGAGTGTGAGCGGGGCTGGGGTTTATATTAACACGTGTGTTTCTGTGTGTCCCTGTGTGTGTTTGTGTGGTGTGAGTGTGAGCGGGGCTGGGGTTTATATTAACACGTGTGTTTCTGTGTGTCCCTGTGTGTGTGTGTGTGTGTGTGGTGTGAGTGGGGCTGGGGTTTATATTAACGTGTGTTTCTGTGTGTCCCTGTGTGTGTGTGTGTGGTGTGAGTGTGAGCGGGGCTGGGGTTTATATTAACGTGTTTCTGTGTGTCCTTGTGTGTGTGTGTGGTGTGAGAGTGAGTGTGAGCGGGGCTGGGGATTATATTAACACGTGTGTTTCTGTGTGTCCCTGTGTGTGTGTGTGTGTGTGGTGTGAGTGTGAGCGGGGCTGGGGTTTATATTAACGTGTGTTTCTGTGTGTCCTTGTGTGTGTGTGTGTGTGTGTGGTGTGAGAGTGAGTGTGAGTGGGGCTGGGGTTTATATTAACGTGTGCTTCTGTGTGTCCCTGTGTGTGGTGTGAGAGTGAGTGTGAGCACACTCATGCTCTCTCACACTCTCCCACACTTTCTCACTCTCTCTCACACACTCTCTCTGACTCTCTCTCCCTCCCACACCCTCTCTCTCACACTCTCTCACACTCTCTCTCTCGCACACTCTCTCACACTTTTACTCTCACAAACACTCTCCCACTCTCCCACTCTCACATTCTCTCACATTCTCTCTCTCACACACACTTTCTCTCACACACATTCTCTCTCACTATCTCTCTTCCACACACGCTCTCTTTCCCTCTCTATCTCATTCTCTCTAACTGTCTCCCCACCATTCTTTCTCCCTCTCTCACGCTCACTCTCTCTCACACACTCTCTCACACTCTCTCTCCCACATTCTCTCTCTCACTGTCTCTCCCACACACTCACACACTCGCTCTCTCACACTCTCCCACATTCTTTCTCTCTCTCTCACACACTCTCTCTCCCTCTCTCTCTCACTCTCTCTCGCAATCTCTCTCTCTCTCACACACTCTCACTCACTCTGTCTATCACTCTCTCCCACACTCTCCCTCACACACTCTCTCTCACACTCCCTCTCTCACACTCTCTCACACTCTCTCTCACACTATCTCTCTCACAGTTGTCCACTCCCACACTCTCCCTCTCTCACGCTCTCTCTCAAACACTCACTGCCTCTCTCACGCTCACTGTCTCTCACATTCTCCCTCTCTCACACTCTCTCAAACACTCTCTCACAATCTTCTCTCGCACTCTCTCACCCTCTCTCTAACTCTCTCGACCCCATTCTCTCTCTCTCACACTCCTTCAAACTCTTAACTCTCTCCCACACTCTCACTCACTGTCTATCACGCGCTGCATCACTCTCACACACTCTCACTCTCTCACACTCACACACTCCCACACACTCTCATACGCACTCTCATACTCTCTCTCACACTCACACACTCCCTCACACTCTCACACACTCTTATACACACTCATATTCTCTCACACTCACACACTCTCACACTCTCCCTCTCTCACAGTTTCCTCTCTCACATTCTCACACACTCTCTCACACTCTCACACACTCTCATACACACTCATATTCTCTCACACTCACACACTCTCACACTCTCCCTCTCTCACAGTTTCCTCTCTCACATTCTCACACACTCTCTCACACTCTCACACTCTCTCACACACTTACTCTCACACTCTCTCACAGTCTCCCTCTCTCACACTCTCAGACTTTCTCTCACACACTCACACACACTCTCACACTCTCCTCTCGCACTCTCTCACCCTCTAACTCTCTCGACCCCATACTCTCTCTCTCACACTCTTATCACACACTCTCACACTCTCCCTCTCTCTCACACTCTCACACTCCCTCTCTCACAGTCCCTCTCTCACCCTCTCTCTCACACACTTTCACACTCCCTCTCACACAGTCCGTCTCTCACACTCTATCACTCACACTCTCTCACGCGCTCACGCTCACTCTCTCAAACACACTCACACTCTCACACTCTCCCTCTCTCACACTCTCTCACCCTCTCTCTAACTCTTTCGACACCATACTCTCTCTCTCACACTCTCCTTCAAACTCTATCTCTCTCCCACACTCACTCACTCTGTCTATCACGCTCTCCATCACTCTCACACACTCTCTCACACTCTCACACACTCTCACACTCACACTCTCATACTCACTCGTACTCTCTCACACTCACACTCTCCCTCTCTCACACACTCTCACACATTCTGTCACACTCTCCCTCTCTCGCAGTCTCCCTCTCTCACACTCTCTCTCACTCTCCCCTCTCACACTCTCCCTCTCTCACACACTCTCTCTCACACTCCCTCTCTCACGCTCTCTCACACACTCTCACACTCCCTCTCTCACGCTCTCTATCACTCTCACGCTCTCTCACGCTCACTCTCTCAAACACTCTCACACTCTCCCTCACTCTCACATTCTCTCTCACACTCTCACACTCTCTTATACACACTCTCATGCTCTCACACACTCACACTCTCCCTCTCTCACAGTCTCCCTCTCTCACACACACACTCTCACACTCTCACACTCACACACTCTCATACACACTCATACTCTCTCACTTTCACACTCTCTCACACTCTCCCATACACACTCTCATGCTCTCACACACTCACACTCTCCCCTCTCACACTCCCTTTCTCACACACTCTCTCACACTCCCTCTCTCAAGCTCACTCTCACATTCCCTCTCACACACTCCCGCTCTCATGCTCTCTATCACTCTCTGACACTCTCACGCTCTCTCTCTCACATTCACTCTCTCAAACACACTCTCTCTCACACTCTCTCTCACACTCTCCCTCTCCCACATTCTCTCACCCTCTCTCTAACTCTCTCGACCCCATACTCTCTCTCTCACACTCTCCTTCAAACTCTATCTCTCTCCCACACTCTCACTCACTCTGTCTCACGCTCACTCTCAAACACACACTTTCTCTCACACTCTCCCTCTCTCTCACACTCTCTCACGCACTCTCATACACATACTCTCTCACGCTCTCACATACTCTCACACTCTCCCTCTCAGTCTCCCTCTCTCACACTCTCACGCTCTCTCACATTCACTCTCTCTCAAACACACTCTCTCTCACACTCTCTCACACTCTCCCTCTCCCACACTCTCTCACACATTCTCATACACATACTCTCTCACGCTCTCACATACTCTCACACTCTCCCTCTCAGTCTCCCACTCTCAAGCTCTCTCACACACTCTCACACACTCTCATGCTCTCCCTCTCTCAGTCTCCCTCTCTCACACTCTCACACACACTCACACTCTCTCATACACACTCTCATACTCACTCACACTCACACACTCATATTCTCACACTCACACTCTCCCTCTCTCACAGTCTCCCTCTCACACTCTCTCACACACTCTCGCACTCTCACACACTCTCACACTCTCCCTCTCTCACAGTCTCCCTCTCTCACACTCACACACTCTCACACTCTCACACTCTCTCACACACTTTCTCCCACACTCTCTCACACACTTTCTCCCACACTCTCACTCACTCTGTCTATCACGCTCTCCATCAGTCTCTCACACACTCTCTCCCTCTCTCACACTCTCTCACACTCACTCATACACACTCTCACACACTCTCACACTCTACCTCTCTCAAAGTCTCCCTCTCTCACACACTCTCTCTCACACTCTCCCTCTCTCTTACACTCTCACAATCTCACACACTCTCACACTCTCCCTCTCAGTCTCCCTCACACTCTCTCTCACACACACTCACACTCCCTCTCTCACAGTCTCCCTCTCTCACACTCCCTCTCTCACAGTCCCTCTCACACACTCTCTCACACTCTCACACTCTACCTCTCACATTCTCTCTCACGCTCTCTCACGCTCACTCTCAAACACCCTCTCTCTCTCACACTCTCTCACCCTCTCTCTAACTCTCTCGACCCCATACTCTCTCACACTCTATCACACACTCTCTCACACTCTCCCTCTCTCACAGTCTCCCTCTCTCACACTCTCCCTCTCTCACAAACTCTCTCTCTCACATTCTCTCTCACACTCTCCCTCTCTCACAAACTCTCTCTCTCACATTCTCTCTCACACTCTCTCTCACACTCCCTCTCTCACACACTCTCTCTCCCTCTCACACACTCTCTCTCACTCTCACACTCCCTCTCTCATGCTCTCTATCACTCTCACACTCTCACACTCTCTCACGCTCACACTCACTCTCTCTCAAACACACTCTCACACTCTCTCACACTCCCTCTCTCACACTCTCCCTCTCTCACACACTCTCTCTCCCTCTCACACACTCTCTCTCACTCTCACACTCCCTCTCTCATGCTCTCTATCACTCTCACACTCTCACAATCTCTCACGCTCACACTCACTCTCTCTCAAACACACTCTCTCACACTCTCTCTCACACTCCCTCTCTCACACTCTCCCTCTCTCACACACTCTCTCTCCCTCTCACACACTCTCTCTCA